CAAAGGGATCATTCAAGCATCTTTATCATCCTCCCTATCCTCTCAAAATTTATAATTTCCATTGTTGAGGTGGAGTTCTTACTTTGATTTTGGGTAGCCTAAATTAAGGATTGCATGTGGAATGTAATTGACTGTATTTGCTTGTATTTTATTGTAATTAGCAAGTCATTATTAGCCTAACATTAATAGTTTTTATGTGGGGATATAGTCATTATTATTAGCTTTATTCTTGGACATTGTTGACCAAGCTATCATTGTATATATGTACATGTTCATCAGATTATGCAATACAATCAATATACAATTACACAATTTTCTATTTTGACATCAGAGCTCTTAAGTCTTAAAGGCTCTAAATTCAATACAAACCATGTCACCCGATCTCATGTCCGTTGTTTCTATCAAGTTGGATAGAGACAACTATCCACTATGAAAATCAATGGTGTTACCTATAATCAGAGGTGTAAGACTCGATGGTTACATGTTAGGAAAGAAGGCGTGCCCTAAATAATTCACCACTGTTGCCGATTCAAGCAAACAAGTATTCAATCCTGAGTTTGAAGATGGGCAAGCATGTGATGAACAACTCCTTGATTGGTTGAGAAATTCAATGACTGCTAGCATAGCAACACAATTATTACACTGTGAAACCTCAATGCAACTTTAAGTTGAAGCTCAAAGTCTAGTTGGTGCTCACACAAGGTCTCAAGTTACTTATCTCAAATATTAGTTCCATAGCACCAGAAAAGGAGAAATGAAAAAGGAAGAGTACCTGATCAAGATAAACTCAAACTTGCATGAGCTCAACATTACCTGATCAAGATAACCTGACTGATAAGCTCAAACTTGCATGTACTCCAGTTTCAACTTCTGATTTAATCATTCAAACTCTAGATTATTTGGATTCATGTTTTTCAAAACTCTAAACTTGCTATTGACAATAACATTCATGTTTTTCAAGCTTTCATTCAATTAAAAAAATTGGTAGAAAATCAATTTAATAAGAAAATTAAGACAATTCAATGTGATGGTGGTGGTGAGTATAAACCTGTGCGAAAATTGGAAATGAGTACAAGTATACAATTTAGAATGTCTTGTCCATATACATCTAAGTAAAATGGAAATGCTGAGAGAAAGCACAGACACAAATCCCACAAGCAACGACACGGGGATAAGTATCAACAACCACAGGATATGTACCAGAAGCAAAACAGGTATTCTCAAGCCAAAGCTACCTTATATTAGGCTAACTGAGACCTACATAGACACCATGGAACCTGTCATCGCCAAAGAAGCTCTTACAAGACCTCTGTGGAAAGAATCTATGCACAATGAATTTCGAGCACTAGTGTCTAATCACACTTGGACACTAGTGTCCTACCGAGGCCAATAAAACATTATTGATTCTAAGTGGTTCTTTAAGACCAAGTACAAAACCAATGGTTCAATAGAAAGGAGGAAAGCATGACTAGTTGCAAAAGGCTTTCAACAAACAACTGGACTCGACTATTAAGAGACCTTTAGTCCTGTAATTAAAGTAAGCATAATCAAGATCATTCTTTCAATCACAGTGCACTTCAATTGGGATGTAATTCAACTAGAAATCAACAATGCTTTTTTCAATGGCTACCTTAAAGAAACGATATTCATGCATCAACCAAAGGGATTTGTAGACTCAACCAAGCCAAATCACATATGAAAATTGTCTAAAGCAATATACGGACTGAAGCAAGCACCACGAGCATGGTTTGATAGTCTCAAAAATGAATTACTTATCTGGGGATTTCATAACACTAAAAGTGATTCATCTCTGCTCATCCTCAAAGAAAAGAATCATATTACTTTCCTCCATATATATGTTGATGACATCTTAGTCATAGGAAGCGACACCAAATTCCTTGAAGGCTTCATCAAGAAACTCAATACTATCTTTTTCTTAAAAGAGTTAGGTAACTTGCACTATTTCCCTGGAATAGAGGTTCACAGAGATGCAAATGGTATGTATCTAAAGCAATCCAAGTACATAGGCGACTTACTAAAGAAATTTCACATGGAGAAAGCCAGACCTTTTCCAACACCTATGGTCACAGGGAAGCAGTTCACGATTGAGGGAGAGAAAATGGAAGATCCAATTGTGTTCAGGAAGGCTGTAGGAGGATTACAATATTTGACACACACAAGGCATGGCATAGTCTTTTCTATAAATAAACCCAGCCAGTATATGTGTTCACCTACAGTTGAACATTGGAAAGGGATAAAAATGATCCTAAGTACCTCCTAGGTACTAATAGTCATTGCTTGCACATTAAGCCTTCCACTGACTTGGATATAGCAGGTTTCTCATATGCAAATTGGGCCACTAGTGTTGATCACATAAAATCTATGGTTGATCAATGTGTCTTTCTTTGTGAAATACTAGTTTCTCGGCCCTCAAGAAAACAAAAAGTGGTCTCAAGGTCAAATACAGAATCAGAGTACACGGCCTTAGTTGATTTAGCTGCTGAAATAACATGGACTTAATCATTACTTGATGAGCTCAAGCTTCAATTATCAAGGAAAACTATCAATAGGTGCGACAACTTAAGTGCTGAGGCATTAGCCTCTAATCCAGTTATGCACGCATGTTCAAAGCACATTGAATCAATGTCCATTGCTTTAGAGACCAAGTGCTGCAAAATAAAATTGTTGTAGCATATGTTCCTACATCAGATTAAGTTGCTGACTGCCTCACCAAACCATTGAGCCATACACAATTCAATCAACTCAAAGACAAACTTGGGGTGATTCCCTCACCATCAGTTTGAAGGGAGAGTTAGACATAATCTCTTGATACTTATATAAGAATGTAATTGATTGTATTTTATTATAATTAACAAGTCATTATTTGCCTAACATTAATAGTTTCTATGTTGGAATATAGTCATTATTATTATTATGTTGATTATAGGATCATGTTGACCAAGCTATCATTGTATATGTGTGTACATGTTCATCAGATTATGCAATACAATCAAAATATAATTACACAGTTTTCTATCTCTATGTTCTGTGATCACTTGTTTTGAATGCGTGATATTGAGATTACTTGACTCTGATAGCATGCTTGTTTTGCTATACATAAATGTTTGGATTATGATTTGGAATCTTGTATGTGATGAGAAGAGAAAGTAGAAACTGTTTGGGTGTTGAAAATGCAAGAAAACAATATTTTTCAATTGTGGAGATGTAAACATTTACAACAAACTTGTAATCGATTACAAGTTATGAAAATCGATTCTGGGTTTTTGGATGATGTTGTAATCGATTACAACCATCATGTAATCGATTACAATTAAAGAAAAATGAATTTTTGAGTTTTAGATGAACCGTAATCGATTACAATAAGTGTGCAATCAATTAATCAATTACAAGTGCAGGATAAGTGGGAAATCACTCATTAATCAATATAAAAGTATGGTGTTTTAACTAATAAAAGGTGGTGAGACATAGTAGGAACCATAATTAAGCCCTTGGACATAATTAAGAGAAATCAAGTGTGGATCTTGGATACTAATGTGTATTACATGATAGTGAGTTATGTTTGACATTGATTCTGAAAGCATCAATTAAAATACATGTAAAGAATGTCGAGATTTTCTGTGTGTGTCTGATTGTATAATCAGTAATCAGACAGATCAATCTGGGCAAGATAGGTAGCGCTGTAAAACAAGACTTGACAGAAGGACAAGTAAAAAGTCACAAATTCTGTAAAACTAGACTTGATATAACAGTTGACGTTCCGCGATGCTAGACGCTTTCTAAGGTGTACATGAATGTTAGAGCAAATGTATCGACATTTCCACATGTATGAGGCTGATGATGCCTCATACCATTTGTTTTGTTTTAAACACTTGAGTGTTAGTTGTTATTTTTTTTTTTCTAATAAATATGTTTTCTGGAAGAAAAAAAAAGGCAAAATCTTGATGGACTGATGCTACTTTTCTTTTATTTTGATTTTCGTTGCATATTACTCCCTCTGATCTTTAATATAAGAAAAATTTTATTTTTTGAATTCATTGAAGAATGAATAGTCTAAATACATTATTTCTTCGATGAATCTAAAAATAAACTTTTTAGAGATAATATTAATATTGTATTCTTGGACATGTTGTATTGTGTGTACATTTAATATATATCTTATGTGATACTTATATTGATTGATATTTTGACATGTGAGTACCACCATTTTAATACCATTTTAATACATGAAAGTTATTTGAACACTAATATAGACACCTACACCTACCCCGTATGTTGATACGGTTTTCAATTTTTTAATGTTAATTTCTCCCTCCATTTTTCATATGAAAGCAAAATATTAGGCTTACTTGAATGCATGTGATACGGACACGGTGTTGCATACATGGTGTTGATCCTCATTTTAATGTCATGTCAATTATATGATATTATAGATTTTATCTAATCTAATTGGGGTATTAACTTTCTTTACATAAGTTGAATTTAATGGAATGCTTCAGTTTCTTACAACATCAAATAAAGAGTAAAGCATCAAAGTTTGTGAACCATACAGGAAGTGCTTATCTAAAGGTTTTGTTTACTGAATTCATATCCACTATACGGATAATATAGCAGAAAAAATCTATAAATCATGGTAGCAATAAGTTACAACAATGCAAATAACTTAAACAGATTACATGCCGAGTCCTTAGTAAACCGACAAAACAGACCGGAAAAAAATACAAACCCAACAAAACAGAGTTAAAGGAATTAATTTAATATCATTAAATTACACTTTACAACAAAGCTATAATTGCACCTAACTAGTCACACAGATTGAACTCGCTCACCTAAAGGGTTTAGCTGGCAACAGATTGAATTCTCATTCAACTTAATCCTTTCCTTCTTGCAAATTTGCATTGCAGGGAATTTGATGAGAAAATCGAAAATGAATTTCTTTTTGCTTATTAACTTAATATTCTTTCTATCAGAATCATTCTGATTTAAGCATACTCAGGATTGAGTGCTAATGCCTCCCTATAGATCATCTCCTTTATTTGCTCTTCGTCCAAATGCTGCTGTTCAAACTCAAACGAGAATGGTTCCATGCAGATCGGTTCGTCGGCTACATCATGTAGTTTTTCAAGGTATGGATGGGCTAGTGCTTCTTCAACTGCCATTATTGAAACAAACAGATATGAAAATTTGAAAAATTTATTCAACTTGTAATGTAGATAACATGAATGTTCAAAAGGAACCTGCATGTTGCTTTATCTAGATATAGATATGTAAATGGATGCGAGGATGAGAAAATCACCTGTAATTCTTCTGGTGGGATCAATTGTCAACATTTTATCAATGAGATCGATGGCTAAGGGATGAACATGGGGGAAAACCCTATTTAAAGGTTGGCGAGGATATTGAGGAAGTTGTCGGATGTATCTTCTCGCATCTTCATTTTTCACTAACCCGACATCAGCGTCAGTTGGAGTGCCAAGAAGCTGTGGGAAGATAACAAGTGTAAGCATATATAACAAGAATCACTTGTGATAAAATTATCGATTGTTTTCGTTACATTAAATAACTTGAAATGTTTGTTATGAACATTAACTTATATGAATTAGTAGCAACTAGAAAAAACATTTAATGTAATGTTTTACTCCATCCGTACTATTAAAAGTGTCGTTTAAGATTATTAGTTACGTTAATTTCTATAGTCTTACCTCTGTCAATAAACGCATCTGATGCACATGGTCTTTGCCAGGAAATAGAGGTTTTTTATTCATAAGCTCCATGAAGATGCAACCGACAGACCAAACATCTATTGCAGAGGTGTAATCTGAGGAGTTCAACAACAGTTCAGGAGCCCTATACCATCTTGTGACTACATATTCTGTCATGAAGTCATTTTCCATAGTTGGCCGGGCAAGACCAAAATCAATAATCTTCAAGTCGCAATTTGCATTCAACAACAGGTTGCTTGGCTTCAAATCTCTATGGATAATGTTTGCAGAATGTATGTACCTCAGTCCACGAAGAATCTGATACAAAAAGTACTGCAAGTTCAACAGCATCCAATCATCAGCAAAAGAATTAGTTCAGTTCATTCCAGTGTAATGTAAATGCGTGATTATGATAATCAAAACACTGACCTGACAGTGTTCATCTGACAGGTTTTGATTCGAGCGAATGATTTGATGAAGATCAGTATCCATGAGTTCGGTGGTTATGTAGACATCATTAAACTCTCTACGCAAGGGTGGAGGAATAACATCTCTTAAACCAATCACCTGTTTTAAAAACAAACATTTTAACCATCACTAAATTATAATATATCTTCATTTATGAACTAAGACTTTCACATTTGATACTTTAAAGCTTAAACTACAGTGTAAACTTTAAAACCACATGAAAGTAATCAAATTAGTATGAATCAAATTTCATTTTAGCCAAGTAAAAATGTTATTATTAGAAAAAAAAATTATAACTAATTTGTGTCATGTCATCATGTATTCTTCAAAATCAAGTTATCATTGGACTTTATATTTATATTGAACTTAATTCATCATTACATAAATAATTGGGGCATTTTCTTTTTTCATTGTTGACTTGTTTTTTTCCTCAATCACCATGGTCCACCATCCACCATTGTCAACAGAGATGGCCTGATTCCATTAAATCTCAACAAATGTGTCGCTACTCACCACACATATTTTCAGGCATTTAATTTTCATGTAGGACACGAAAAGGAACCAAATTTCACAACATAACCACACATATTAATGGGGTTTTTGGATTGGATTTCTACCAAATATCTTCCTTACTTGTATTCCTTCTTATGACTTGAAATGTCAACTAAAATTATCATCAACAATCAACAATTAACAATTATTATTTTGGTATGTACAAGTGCTACGACACTGATTGCGGTCGTAGTAAGAATCACCCACAATTTATTTTACAGTATCAATATTGGCATATGTTGATATCGTTTTCTCGTTTTTAAAATCTTGATTAAGAAAACTTCATGTCATTTTTCTTATGGAACTTTTTCAGGAAAATGCTAAAGAAAAGTTATATGAAATAATGAAATCTCAAATAAAATTGGAACAGATTAAGAAATAATTTAATGGCAGTTGAAAATTCGTACTGTACAAAAAATCTAATACGAAATAAAATACAATATTATCTAGTTAATTAATCAATTAAACTTTGTTAACAGAAAGATAACTCACATTCTCATGATCTAAATGCCTAAGAAGCTTAATCTCACGCAGCGTACGCTTCGCATCCATATGATTATCGAAAGCATTCGCTATCTTCTTAACAGCAACCAATTCATTCGTCTCCGTGTTCAACAGCGAACTTCAAAAATCAAATCAACATAACAATTCAGATTTCATAATTTCAAAAACCGTTAGTTAATCGAAATACCGATTCAGAAAGAAGAAAGAAAAAAACGATCCAAATCCATAAGAAGATTACAAAGCAATACCAAACGATTCCGTAAGCGCCGCGACCGATAGGCATGATCGGAGGACGATACTTAGCAGTAACCTCAAAGAGATTACCGAACACGTTGTATTGAACGAACTGTCCACCGTGAGTCGGAACCGCCGGGAACTCGGCGACGCCGTTTTGATTAACTCCGGCCATAAGTTTTTCTCACTTTCTCTCTCAAGAAGATTTTCTCTCTCTAGAAACTGTGAAATGGTGCGTTGAAGAAGAAGGCGGTGATTTTAATTTAAATAATGTTTAGCGGAAGCAAGAGCGAGTTACTGAGTCAACGTTGAGTTTCACTTGGTCCACTGACTCGCTAGTTAAACACGTTGAAATATAATAACAATCTTTCGTAGTAGATGCTAGGAAGAAGGTACGAAAACGCGCGAAGGAAATAATACACACGCGCACAGAACGACGCGTTTCGATCTTAATCGGACGGTTGAGAATGTAGCCGCCTCTAATCTATGGTCTCTGTTTGTTCAATTATTTCAACTACCATCTATCATCCATGAAATAAAATATGATATCATTTATATATTAAAAATGATATTATTAGCTAGAAGTTAAGGAAGTGAATAAATAATTTAAAAAATTGTAGGAATAAAAAAGAAAAGTTATGGAAATAAATGACTCAGATACATTTTTTAAAGTTTATTATATATAAAAATTGAGTGACACCTACATTTCAATATAGAATTAAATTGATTCCCTTGTTTAGGCTCTTTTCAATCCCTAAAAAAGTAAAACAGATATATAACACTACTATTTTAGTCAAGAATGATTAAATTCTCAAATTATTGATCAACTGTTTTCTGGCATATATAGAGGCAATTTGTATCTGACAATGGTTTTTTTATGCACTATAAAAGGAATTGTTTTTCATGTGGAGTAAACACATACTTATGTATTGTTTTATATATTAATAGGGTTTTAGTTGAAAGTTATTAATTTTAATGCAAATGACATCTAACATGGCTTGGTTAAAAATGATAAGTCTCTCATGAAATTTGTACATTAAAGGTTAAGAATATGCAAAACTATAATTTGTCTTGAAATTTATGAAAATAATATTGGTCTAAAGATTTATGTTGAGGATAAGATGAGAGACAAGTTCAATTATGAAGTAGTTGATGATTACAATATAATATTAATAATGTTTAACATTTTACAATAGCTATTTGATTAAGAAAGAAATTAATTTATTAATGTTTAATTATTACTCTCTTCGTCCTATATTATTTGTCGCAATTTATCATTTCATATAAATTAAGAAACAATAATAAATAAAAAAGAGATAATAGTGATTTTACTAAATTATTCTGATTAACCGTTGGTGTATTCAAATTAGCATTAATATCAAGTGAGAAAACAATAAATTACGACTATTTATTAAATGATACAATTAGAAGATTAAATATAAAATTGTATTGGTAATCTAAAATGACAAGTATTTTGTGACAAAAAAAATTTCTTCTAAATGTGACATTTATTTTGGAACGGAGGGAATAATTAATTTATTATAAATATATAAACATAAAACTACTTGGTAATGACACTATAAGTCATTTGATTAAAAACCATAGTTAATCTAATTATAAGGGATATTATTGACTTTTTGAACTTTGTTATCTTTATATTCATTTGACATTTAATACGGTTGGCATGACAACGCTAGAATTTTTGTTGGATTTTATTTTGTTTTATTCAATAATTAACTAAATGCACAAAAAAAGCAACCGTAATTTTTGAACTTCCCAGTGAAAAAGCACAAAATATTCAAGTGCATATATCCTTTCCCAAGATTCATTCAACTGACTTTTCTTCTGAAAAATCACATTGAAAGTCTATAAAATGAAGAGAAATTGGAACTTAGACCCAATCTCTTTATTCTTCTGAGTTCATAACTCCATCTCCATACCCAAATTGATTTTCCCTCTTGTTTTCGCCTTTTCGTTTCACCTAAGAACCCTAATCATAAGTCGATTATGATTTTCACCTCAAATCAAAATTTAAATTGATTATGATATTTATTATCAAATTCAATTTTGATTTTCTCCAGAAAATCCAAATTGATATCTATCCTCACATCCTAAATCAATTTCGGTTTCACTACGAAAATTGATTTCTACTCCATATTATTATTGTTTTTCGTTACCCATTTGTTCCATTTTCAAACACAAATTGATAACGCAAATCGATTTTGTCGTCAAATGGTAAGAAACAGAAATCGTTTCTGTAACACTCCAATTCTACCCCAAGCAAATATGCAAGAGAAATCAGAGTTATAAAATTCAATCATACAAATGAATCGGGAAGTCACAAATTCTTCTAACAAATTCATTGCATTCATCATGGATATATAACACTTTTTCAAAACATCGGATGAACTAACAACATAACATCTTTCATTAAATATTCAACAACTACGCAGCGAAATTCTTCAATAACATCTTTAAATAAAAGCAACGACTTCGAAACATCTCATATTTAATAATAATCAATTCAAAATTCAGCAACTGAAAATCAACAATAAAAAATCAGCAAGCGTTCATCCCCCCGAGTGTTACATATCAGAGCAATGACACCGACTCGATCTATTGAAGGTATACAACATTCACTCTCGACTACCTGCACGTTACCAACATAGGGGCAACATTCAAACAGAAGGGGTGAGATATCTAACAATATAATAAAGCGCATGATAATTAATATATTAAATTAGATCAATAATATCACCACTTCTCATCTCATAATCAATAACAATTACAGCATATATACTCATTCATCAACATTAATACACTTCATTATTCAATCATAAAATGCGACTCAAAACTATGCAAATGCACGTGGTACCATTGGAGCAAAACTCCAATCTCAAAAATCTAATCTGCCAATTAATAGAGGCATCAACAAGGCATAGCCTTCATCTCAAAATTTTCTAATCCAGACCATCTCAACGAGCATAAGCTCCATCTCAAAAAATGCAATGTATGCGACTCAACATGAATGTAATAACACACTCAGTTAACAACATCTCAAAACACATCTCAAAACAACAACAACTCAATCATCTCAAAACGACAACATTTCAGTCATCTCAAACAACAACATCTCAATCATCTCAAAATGACAACATTTCAGTCATCTCAAACAACAACATCTCAATCATCTCGGAATAACATCTCATAAACATCTCAAAATAATTTATTAAACATCATTATTTATCAACATCATTTGTTCATCATAAATTATAAAACACCACTTTAATAACCACATCTTACTAATAACTCAGTTGTATATTAATAATACAGTAAGCCATACTGTTATTCTGCAGTTCTACTTCACTTATGTCATTAATCCTACTGTCATATTTCTAACAGCAGTCTCTAACATCTCATATTCATCATTTTGTCCAAAATCCAGCATAACGGTCATCTACGGGAATCAATCCTAAATCCTAAATTAGTTACTGGGATTACACTTCTTAATCATCATTTAAATCATCTAGAATAATATTCATCGCGTTAGCTAATCAACACTTCGAACGGCATCTCAAACAGCATCCTAAAACTCAAGTTACAGCAATTAGAAGTCAATTCTGTCAAAAATCCAGCATTATGTATCGACACAAAACTCCTTGGATCGACACATCCTACTTCATCTACTCACTATGAGCCGACGCGTCCTCCTTATGGATCGACTCATTCTTCTTCAAATCACAGTATGTATCGACACATGCACTTACTGATCGACTCATACTGACTTCAAAACGCAGCATGTATCGACACATGCATCGCACCGATCGACTCATCCTGAGTCTCACACACTCATGTATCGACACGTCCTCTGGATGCATCGACTCATCCTGAGTCTAACAGCCTCCTTGCATCGACTCATCCAGTTTGAGGTCGACGCATCCTATGATTTTCTGCATAATTTCTGCGTTTTCTACTGTAATTTCACTACTGAAATCTAATTACTGTCCTACAAACCTCATCATAACCATGATAATTCATCACTTAACATTAACTTATAATACAACATCGATTACACAACATTATAACATCATTTATCCATCGAGAATTCATCAATATTCACCATACATCATTCAATTCAATAACAAAAACAGCAATCCTCTAACCCCACATATCAAACATCATGAACCCAATTATAAAGCCAGAACCCCACCCTTACCTTGGATCGAAGGTCGCTCTACAATTTCCGGATTGAATCTTTGTTCTTTCCGTTTCCTTCAAAATCCAGCAGCTTCACGTTCTCCTCAAATCCTTATTTCTCTTCTTACCACTGCCTCCTTCTATTCTTTCAACAAATAATAAAATAACCTAATATTATTATATTATTCCTTATTGGGCTCAAAACCTACACCCCCTTAATACTTCCACTCACACCATATAGGCCCACATTAAATAATATTAGCTTCTAACATTATTTCACATAATAATATAATACCTCAAATATATTATTATTTCCTCACTTAATAAAATAAATCCAATTTAATAACACTTCTTCACAAATATTCTAAAAATAATTTAATTAAATAATAAATTAAATTACGTGCGTTACAACTCTCCCCCACTTAGAATATTTTCGTCCTCGAAAATTTACCTCAATCAAACAATTCAGGATAGGAGTCTTGCATCTTGCTCTCCAATTCATAAGTCATGCTTTCACCAGCAACTCCTAGCCAAACCACTTTAACCAAGGCAATCTCTTAGCCCCTCAGAGTCTTCATTTCACGATCTGCGATCTGTACAGGCATCGTCTCCACCGTAAGATTATCCCGTACTTGCACATCATCCATATGAATCACATGAGATGGATCTGAAATATACTTCCGAAGTTGCGACACATGAAACACATCATGCAAATTCGAAAGATTAGGTGGTAAAGCCACTCTGTAAGCAACATTCCCCACTCTCTCGGAAATCTGATACGGTCTAATAAAACGAGAAGTGAGCTTCTTAGACTTCAACGCTCACCCAACACCAGTCACAGGTGTAACTCTCAAAAACACATGATCACCGGCTTGAAATTCTAAATCCTTTCTTCGCTTGTCATGATAACTCTTCTATCTACTCTGTGAAGCTTTCATCTTTTCTCGAATCAACTTCACCTTCTCAGTAGTCTCACGAACAAGTTCAGGTCCAAGTACTACACTTTCACCAGATTCAAGCCAACATAACGGAGTTCTACATCTTCGACCATACAACACTTCAAAAGGTGCCATCCCAATACTAGAATGGTAACTGTTATTATAAGTGAACTCTATCAACGAAAGATAAGTATCCCACGAACCTCCCTGCTCGAGAACACATGCCCTCAACAAGTCTTCCAATGATTGAATCGTCCGTTCAGTCTGACCATCTGTCTAAGGATGATACGCTGAACTCAACCTCAACTTAGAACCCAACGCTTCTTGAAAACTCTTCCAAAAATCAGAAGTAAATCTTGGATCTCTATCTGACACAATGCACAAAGGAACATCATGCAGTTTCATAATCACACTAATATAAATCTCAGCCAACTTCAACACTGGAAAACTGATGTTAATAGGAATAAAATGAGCCGACTTCGTAAGCCTATCAACAATCACCCAAATTGAATCATGTCCTCTTATAGTACTCGGTAACCCCATCACAAAGTCCATTGAAATTCTATCCCATTTCCATTCAGGAACTTCCAACGGTTGCATCAATCCTGCAGGCTTCTGATGTTCAACTTTCGACTTCTGACAAGTCAAACATGCATACACAAACCGAGCCACATCACTCTTTATCCCAGGCCACCAAAACAAACCTTTCAAATCTTGATACATCTTCGTAGCTCCTGGATGAATACTCAACTTACTTCTATGACTCTCTTCAAGTATCACTTTCTTCATCTCGGCATCATCAAGAATACAGATCCGATTACGAAACCTCAACACACCTTGCTCGTCTAGCTTAAAATCACTATTCTCAGATTGATCTATCCAAACCATAAATCTACCAGTTTCACATCCAACTTCTAAGCTTCTCTGATACTGTCTAAAAATTCATTATTAATCTTCAACATACCCAACATAACACTCTGCGGAGTAACCTCGCAAACTAAGCTCATATCTCTGAACTGCTCGATCAATTCCAACTCTTTAATCATCATTGCTGACATATGTAAAGTCTTTCGACTCAACGCATCAGCTACCACATTCGCCTTTCCTGGATGAATACTCAACTTACTTCTATGACTCTCTTCAAGTATCACTTTCTTTATCTCGGCATCATCAGGAATACAGATCCGATTACGAAACCTCAACACACCTTGCTCATCTAGCTTAAAATCACTATTCTCATATTGATCAATCCCAACCATCAAATCTACCAGTTTCACATCCAACTTCTGAGCTTCTCTGATACTGTCTAAAAATTCATTATTAATCTTCAACATACCCAACATAACACTCTGCGGAGTAACCTCGCAAACTAAGCTCATATCTCTGAACTGCTCGATCAATTCCAACTCTTTAATCATCATTGATGACATATGTAAAGTCTTTCGACTCAACGCATCAGCTACCACATTCGCCTTTCCTGGATGATAATTCAAACCGAAATCATAATCCTTTAGCAATTCTAACCATCTTTGTTGCCTCATATTCAACTCCTTCTGGTCAAACAAATACTATAAGCTCTTATGGTCACTAAACACTTCAAATCTAGAACCATAAAGATAATGCCTCCAAATCTTCAATACAAAGACAACAACAACAAGTTCTAAATCATGCGTAGGATAGTTCTTCTCATGAGTCCTTAACTGCCTCGACGCATAAGCAACTATCTTACCACTCTGCATAAGCACACCTCCTAAACCCATCTTGGAAGCATCACAATAAACCACAAAAGGCTCTCCTGGATTAGGCAACGTAAAAATTGGAGCCGACGTCAACCTCTTCTTTAATTCCGTAAAACTTTCTTCGCACTGAACATCCCAAACAAAAGATCTACCTTTACAAGTCAACTTAGTCAACGGAAGTGACAACTTAGAAAACCCTTCGATAAACCTTCTATAATAACCAGTTAATCCCAAGAAGCTTCTAATCTCAGTAGCTGACTTTGGAGTTTCCCATTGCAACACAGCATCAACCTTCGACGGATCTACAGCAATGCCACTACCTGAAATCACATGACCAAGAAAACTAACCTCTTTCAGCCAGAATTCACACTTGGACAGCTTTGCATACAACTTCTTCTCTTTCAAAATCTGCAATACTACTCTTAAATGTTCAGCATGCTCTTCTTCTGACTTAGAGTAAATCAAAATATCATCAATGAACACCACTACAAACCGATCCAAATAAGTATGAAAGATATGATTCATATATTCCATGAATACTCCCGGTGCATTAGTAACACCGAAAGGCATCACTGAATACTCGTAATGTCCATAACGCGTTCTGAAAGCCGTCTTCTGAATATCTTCATCCTTCACTTTAACCTGATGATAACCTGACCTCAAATCAATCTTTCTAAACACACGGGCATCCACTAATTGATCCATCAAGTCATCTATTCTTGGAAGTGGATACTTGTTCTTAATCATCACCTTGTTCAACTGTCTATAATCAACACAAAGCCTCATACTTCCATCTTTCTTCTTCACTAACAACACTGGAGCTCCCCACGGAGATACACTTGGTCTTACAAACCTCTTCTCAAGTAACTATTCCAATTGCTTCTTCAACTCTGACAATTCAGATGCAGACATCATGTATGGTGCCATAGACACAGGTCTGGTACCAGGTACAAGATCAATTGCAAATTCAACTTCCCTCTCTGGCGGTACATCAGAAATTTCATCAGGGACAACTTTAGGAAATTCACACACCACATGCAATTCCTCAATTATAGCTTGAGTCCCTACAGATAAAGACACCATCAATGAAAACATTTGTGCTTCCTCTTGCATCAACTTTCTCAACTGTCTAGCAGACAACAAACCATCTTCCTCTTCTTCAGGAGTAGAAAACTTCACCGACTTGTCATAACAATTAATATGAACACAATTATGCTCTAACCAGTTCATACCAAGAATCACATCCAAACCTCTTAACGGCAAACAAACCAAATCAAAAACAAAGTCTCTGTCGAAGATCGACAAGGGACACTTAGCACACACAAAAGAAGTAGTCACCGATCCCTTGGCTGGATTATCGACGACCATTTCTCCACTCAAAGAAGACAACACAAGACCCAATCTTTCAACATAATCAGCAGAAATAAAACAATGCGTAGCACCAGTATCAATAATAGTAATTAAAGGAGTACTATTAATGAAACATGTACCTCTAATAAGTGTGTCCTCGGAAGCTGTCTGATCCTCCACCAAAGTAAACACTTTACCACTAGACTGAGCCTTCTTCGGCTTCAGACACTGGCTACCAATGTGCCCTTCTTCTTTACAGTTGAAACAAACCACATTATTGTGCTCACACTCAGATACAATATGTCCGTTCTTACCACAACGGTGACATCTCTTCACTTCAGCAGTGCACACATTACTCTTGTGTCCAGTTTTTCCACACTTAAAATAAATCACACTAGCAGGAGCATCTCCCCCACTAGTCCTCTGACCATGAGCAAATCTCTTCTTACCCTTACCAGCTGGGGCATCATAAGGCTTACCATGACTCTGCGGGTGCTTACCCCTCTTCTCACTAATAATCTTGTAATGTGCATTATTATCTTCCTCAAAAATCCTACAGCTATCAACCAAATCAGCAAAGACACAGATCTTCTGGTATCCAACTGCCTTCTTAATTTCCGGGCGCAACCCATTCTAAAATTTAATACACTTTGAAAACTCAGCATTTTCCTCAGTGTAATGCGGATAAAACTTGGCCAACTCAGCAAACTTGGCAGCATACTCAACAACAGACAGATTCCCTTGCTTCAGCTCAAGGAACTCAATCTCCTTCTTTCCACGGACATCTTCAGGAAAATACTTTCTCAAAAACTCCCTACGGAACACAACCCAAGTGACATTCTCACCTGCAGCTTCTAACTTCTGGCAAGTCTCTAGCCACCAGTCATCAACCTCGACTGCTAGCATATGAGTCCCATAACGAACCTTTTGCGCTGGAGTGCAGTCCATCACGCGAAAGATCCTCTCAATCTCTTTCAACCATTCCAATGCTCCGTCAAGATCATATTTTCCCTTGAACGTAGGTGGATTCTCTCTCTGGAAAGTCGCCAAGCTACGAGATCCAGCATTCCCGTCAGCATTCGGCTGATTTTCCATCGCATGAGCCATTGCTTCTAGAGCAGCAGCAAGAGCAACATCATTCCTTCCAGCCATCTCAACTTCTCACTATAATACAAACAACTGTTAGAACTCGAAATAACAATACTCGATTGTTAGACAACTACGACTCGACGACAAGGTCGGACCAACCTTTTGCTCTGATACCAACTTTGTAACACCCCAATTCTACCCCAAGCAAATATGTAAGAGAAATCAGAGTTATAAAATTCAATCATACAAATGAATCGGGACGTCACAAATTCTTCTAACAAATTCATTGCATTCATCATGGATATATAACACTTTTTCAAAACATCGGATGAACTAACAACATAACATCTTTCATTAAATATTCAACAACTACGCAGCGGAATTCTTCAATAACATCTTTAAATAAAAGCAACGACTTCGAAACATCTCATATTTAATAATAATCAATTCAAAATTCAGCAACTGAAAATCAACAATAAAAAATCAGCAAGCGTTCATCCCCCCGAGTGTTACATATCAGAGCAATGACACCGACTCGATCTATTGAAGGTATACAACATTCACTCTCGACTACCTGCACGTTACCAACATAGGGGCAACATTCAAACAGAAGGGGTGAGATATCTAACAATATAATAAAGCGCATGATAATTAATATATTAAATTAGATTAATAATATCACCACTTCTCATCTCATAATCAATAACAATTACAACATATATACTTATTCATCAACATCAATACACTTCATTATTCAATCATAAAATGCGACTCAAAACTATGTAAATGCATGTGGTACCATTGGAGCATAACTCCCATCTCAAAAATCTAATCTGCCAATTAATACAGGCATCAACAAGGCATAGCCTTCATCTCAAAATTTTCCAATTCAGGCCATCTCAACAAGCATAAGCTCCATCTCAAAAAATGCAATGTATGCGACTCAACATAAATGTAATAACACACTCAGTTAACAACATCTCAAAACACATCTCAAAACAACAACATCTCAATCATCTCAAAACGATAACATTTCAGTCATCTCAAACAACAACATCTCAATCATCTCAAAATGACAACATTTCAGTCATCTCAAACAACAACATCTCAATCATCTCGGAACAACATCTCATAAACATCTCAAAATAATTTATTAAACATCATTATTTATCAACATCATTTGTTCATCATAAATTATAAAACACCACTTTAATAACCACATCTTACTAATAACTCAGTTGTATATTAATAATACAGTAAGCCATACTGTTATTCTGCAGTTCTACTTCACTTCTGTCATTAATCCTACTGTCATATTTCTAACAGCAGTCTCTAACATCTCATATTCATCATTTTGTCCAAAATCCAGCATAACAGTCATCTACGGGAATCAATCCTAAATCATAAATTAGTTACTGGGATTACACTTCTTAATCATCATTTAAATCATCTAGAATAATATTCATCGCGTTAGCTAATCAACACTTCGAACGGCATCTCAAACAACATCCTAAAACTCAAGTTACAGCAATTAGAAGTCAATTCTGTCAAAAATCCAGCATTATGTATCGACACAAAACTCCTTGGATCGACACATCCTACTTCATCTACTCACTATGAGTCGACGCGTCCTCCTTATGGATCGACTCATTCTTCTTCAAATCACAGCATGTATCGACACATGCACTTACTGATCGACTCATCCTGACTTCAAAATGCAACATGTATCGACACATGCATCGCACCGATCGACTCATCCTGAGTCTCACACACTCATGTATCGACAAATCCTCTGCATGCATCGACTCATCCTGAGTCTAACATCCTCCTTGCATCGACTCATCCAGTTTGAGGTCGACGCATCCTATGATTTTCTGCATAATTTCTGCGTTTTCTACTGTAATTTCACTACTGGAATCTAATTACTGTCCTACAAACCTCATCATAACCATGATAATTCATCACTTAACATTAACTTATAATACAACATCGATTACACAACATTATAACATCATTTATCCATCGAGAATTCATCAATATTCACCATACATCATTCAATTCAATAACAAAAACAACAATCCTCTAACCCCACATATCAAACATCATGAACCCAATTATAAAGCCAGAACCCCACCCTTACCTTGGATCGAAGGTTGCTCTACAATTTCCGGGTTGAATCTTTGTTCTTTTCGTTTCCTTCAAAATCCAGCAGCTTCACGTTCTCCTCAAATCCTTATTTCTCTTCTTACCACTGCCTCCTTCTATTCTTTCAACAAATAATAAAATAACCTAATATTATTATATTATTCCTTATTGGGCTCAAAACCTACACCCCCTTAATACTTCCACTCACACCATATAGGCCCACATTAAATAATATTATCTTCTAACATTATTTCACATAATAATATAATACCTCAAATATATTATTATTTCTCCACTTAATAAAATAAATCCAATTTAATAACACTTCTTCACAAATATTCTAAAAATAATTTAATTAAATAATAAATTAAATTACGTGCGTTACAACTCTCCCCCACTTAGAATATTTTCGTCCTCGAAAATTTACCTCAATCAAACAATTCAGGATATGAGTCTTGCATCTTGCTCTCCAATTCCCAAGTCATGCTTTCACCAGCAACTCCTAGCCAAACCACTTTAACCAAGGCAATCTCTTAGCCCCCCAGAGTCTTCATTTCACGATCTGCGATCTGTACAGGCATCGTCTCCACCGTAAGATTATCCCGTACTTGCACATCATCCATATGAATCACATGAGATGGATCTGAAATATACTTCCGAAGTTGCGACACATGAAACACATCATGCAAATTCGAAAGATTAGGTGGTAAAGCCACTCCGTAAGCAACATTCCCCACTCTCTCTGAAATCTGATACGGTCTAATAAAACGAGAAGTGAGCTTCTTAGACTTCAACGCTCACCCAACACCAGTCACAGGTGTAACTCTAAAAAACACATGATCACCGGCTTGAAATTCTAAATCCTTTCTTCGCTTGTCATGATAACTCTTCTATCTACTCTGTGAAGCTTTCATCTTTTCTCGAATCAACTTCACCTTCTCAGTAGTCTCACGAACAAGTTCAGGTCCAAGTACTACACTTTCACCAGATTCATGCCAACATAACGGAGTTCTACATCTTCGACCAAATATCTTCCTTACTTGTATTCCTTCTTATGACTTGAAATGTCAACTAAAATTATCATCAACAATCAACAATTAACAATTATTATTTTGGTATGTACAAGTGCTACGACACTGATTGCGGTCGTAGTAAGAATCACCCACAATTTATTTTACAGTATCAATATTGGCATATGTTGATATCGTTTTCTCGTTTTTAAAATCTTGATTAAGAAAACTTCATGTCATTTTTCTTATGGAACTTTTTCAGGAAAATGCTAAAGAAAAGTTATATGAAATAATGAAATCTCAAATAAAATTGGAACAGATTAAGAAATAATTTAATGGCAGTTGAAAATTCGTACTGTACAAAAAATCTAATACGAAATAAAATACAATATTATCTAGTTAATTAATCAATTAAACTTTGTTAACAGAAAGATAACTCACATTCTCATGATCTAAATGCCTAAGAAGCTTAATCTCACGCAGCGTACGCTTCGCATCCATATGATTATCGAAAGCATTCGCTATCTTCTTAACAGCAACCAATTCATTCGTCTCCGTGTTCAACAGCGAACTTCAAAAATCAAATCAACATAACAATTCAGATTTCATAATTTCAAAAACCGTTAGTTAATCGAAATACCGATTCAGAAAGAAGAAAGAAAAAAACGATCCAAATCCATAAGAAGATTACAAAGCAATACCAAACGATTCCGTAAGCGCCGCGACCGATAGGCATGATCGGAGGACGATACTTAGCAGTAACCTCAAAGAGATTACCGAACACGTTGTATTGAACGAACTGTCCACCGTGAGTCGGAACCGCCGGGAACTCGGCGACGCCGTTTTGATTAACTCCGGCCATAAGTTTTTCTCACTTTCTCTCTCAAGAAGATTTTCTCTCTCTAGAAACTGTGAAATGGTGTGTTGAAGTAGAAGGCGGTGATTTTAATTTAAATAATGTTTAACGGAAGCAAGAGCGAGTTACTGAGTCAACGTTGAGTTTCACTTGGTCCACTGACTCGCTAGTTAAACACGTTGAAATATAATAACAATCTTTCGTAGTAGATGCTAGGAAGAAGGTACGAAAACGCGCGAAGGAAATAATACACACGCGCACAGAACGACGCGTTTCGATCTTAATCGGACGGTTGAGAATGTAGCCGCCTCTAATCTATGGTCTCTGTTTGTTCAATTATTTCAACTACCATCTATCATCCATGAAATAAAATATGATATCATTTATATATTAAAAATGATATTATTAGCTAGAAGTTAAGGAAGTGAATAAATAATTAAAAAAATTGTAGGAATAAAAAAGAAAAGTTATGGAAATAAATGACTCAGATGCATTTTTTAAAGTTTATTATATATAAAAATTGAGTGACACCTACATTTCAATATAGAATTAAATTGATTCCCTTGTTTAGGCTCTTTTCAATCCCTAAAAAAAGTAAAACAGATATATAGCACTACTATTTTAGTCAAGAATGATTAAATTCTCAAATTATTGATCAACTGTTTTCTGGCATATATAGAGGCAATTTGTATCTGACAATGGTTTTTTTATGCATTATAAAAGGAATTGTTTTTCATGTGGAGTAAACACATACTTATGTATTGTTTTATATATTAATAGGGTTTTAGTTTAAAGTTATTAATTTTAATGCAAATGACATCTACCATGGCTTGGTTAAAAATGATAAGTCTCTCATGAAATTTGTACATTAAAGGTTAAGAATATGCAAAACTCTAATTTGTCTTGAAATTTATGAAAATAATATTGGTCTAAAGATTTATGTTGAGGATAAGATGAGAGACAAGTTCAATTATGAAGTAGTTGATGATTACAATATAATATTAATAACGTTTAACAATTATTTTACAATAGCTATTTGATTAAGAAAGAAATTAATTTATTAATGTATAATTATTACTCTCTTCGTCCTATATTATTTGTCGCAATTTATTATTTCATATAAATTGAGAAACAATAATAAATAAAAAAGAGATAATAGTGATTTTACTAAATTATTCTGATTAACCGTTGGTGTATTCAAATTAGCATTAATATCAAGTGAGAAAACAATAAATTACGACTATTTATTAGATGGTATAATTAGAAGATTAAACATAAAATTGTATTGGTAATATAAAATGACAAGTATTTTGTGACAAAAAAATTTTCTTCTAAATGTGACATTTATTTTGAGACGGAGGAAATGATTAATCTATTATAAATATATAAACATAGAACTACTTGGTAATGACACTATAAGTCTTTTGATTAAAAGCCATAGTTAATCTAATTATAAGGAATATTATTGACTTTTTAAACTTTGCTATCTTTATATTCATTTGACATTTAATACGGCCGACATGACAACGCCAGAATTTTTGTTGGATTTTGTTTTATTTTATTCAATAATTAACTAAATGTAAAGATTCCTTGCATTTATAATAGACATGCCATCGCTTGGAAACGGAAAAAGCAGCCGTAATTTTTTGAACTTCCCAGTGAATAAGCACAAAATATTAAAGTGCATCTATCCTTTGACAAGATTCATTCAACTGATTTTTCTTCTGAAAAATCACATTGAAAGTCTATAAAATAAAGAGAAATTGGAACTTAGACCCAATCTCTTTTTTCTTCCGAGTTCATAACTCCATCTCCATACCCAAATCGATTTTCCCTCTTGTTTTCACCTTTTCGTTTCACCTAAGAACCCTAATCATAAGTCGATTATGATTTTCACCTCAAAATCAAAATTTAAATTGATTATGATATTTATTATCAAATTCAATTTTGATTTTCTCCAGAAAATCCAAATTGATATTTATCCTCACATCCTAAATCAATTTCGGTTTCACTACGAAAATTGATTTCTACTTCATATTATTATTGTTTTTCGTTACCCATTTGTTCCATTTTCAAACACAAATTGATAACCCAAATCGATTTTGTCGTCAAATGGTAAGAAACAAAAATCGTTCTTATTTTTTCTTCAAAATTGTCGAGAATCCTTCACCCTTTTCTGTTATGCATTGTCTAAAGCATTAAGAAACGAAACCCTTTGATTTCTGGTTTATGAATTTGGAACGCTTTTATTGATGATTTATAATTATCTTAATTTCATTTTAAATATGATGTTGTAGGTTGCAGAAGCCGAAGAAAAAACTATTGTTGGTTGGTTGCTCAGGAAAGCACCCCTTTGCACCGTGAGTATCTCAATATTGATTTGCTCAAGTAGTTTTAGTGAGATTACGTGATAATATTTTTGTTATGTTTTGGATGTTATTGGGATAACAGTTGGCGGAATGGAACTGATACGAAGGATGAAGCTACATAAACAATTTTCTTCAATAATTTTGCGTCTAAAAACGTTTCGTCCTTCCATCGATAAAATCGTTATTTAAAATTTTCAGGGAAACTTTTGGCGACAACAATGTTGGACTTCTTGTTGGTGATTCTGCTGTCAACAAGGATGCTCAGGTTTTGATTATGACTACAAAGATATTACGCAACATATTGTATCAGAGGTACATTATGTTAGAAAGTTGGTTATATTAATCTAACTCAACATTTTTTTGTGAACAAAGTAGCAATCCTAAACCAATGTCTAATATCTATTTTCATGGTAGATTTTCTGTTTGTATGGAGGTCTCTTACCATCTTTGGATACATTTGATAATATGTGTGTGTTGTACCCCAAAATTTGCCCTCGTATTTTTCCACAAGAAATCATAGCCTCGGGCGTTTCCTGATTTTTCAGATTGGCGTAAGATTCAGTCAAACAGACTTTTCTTATCAGTCAGACAAAATTAGGGTTTTCATTGATTTTAAAGCAGTTCAGGCAGATTGCTAAGGTTTGGTTGAGTTGGCTCAGGTTTTGATCAGGCGAACGTTTCTTTGACATTTAATCAAGAATTAGGGTTTTTGTGTGCGCATTCTCAGAAAGGATTATCTTTACAGCTTCTTTTCAGTTTACTGAGATTTGGATTGAGGCATTTGAATCAAGAGCTTGCAGTGTTTTGCTTAAATCAGTAGAGGCTAAGGCATTTGAAAGGAGGCTTAAGAAGGCTGAGGTACTTAAATTGAGAATCTACAGTGTCTGATTTGATCAATTAAAAGATAAATATCTGGATATTGGTTTGATTAACTGTGCATTATTTAATTAGAGCGCCAGGTTTATTACTGATTCAATGATAAGGCCACAGTGTTTATTAATTATTTTTCTAAAGTCAGAATAATTGGATACTGCCAGTTATTTTAATTTAAGAAATTCAAATAATTAAATAAACACTGAATTGAAAGAAGAATTATTTGATCAAGATTGGATTTTATTCATCTTTAATTATTCGTTACAATTGTTATTCGAGTACCGTATTTATTTACAAAGTATTCTAATAATGATTACAATAATTAAAAATTGAAATAAAACTTCATCCTAATTCCTAAGTCTTCATCTTCTGTCCATTGCTCCAATGCTCCATTGAGTTTTATCTGCAAAACAAAGAAAAGAAGAAAAAGTCAGAAGCAGATAAATAAAAGACAGACAGTAATTTAAAGATTCATCATTAAAGGCAACTGGCCGGAATCAATTTTCCCTCTCTGCAAATCACGGGATTTCTCCCGGTTCACAAAGAGGGATGGAATGTCTTGCAATTTAAGTTTGAAAATGCACAAAAGTTACATACTGCATAATTCCAAAAGTCCTAACCAATGGTCAAAACAAACAGCATGCCAAACAAAGTCCAAAGACAAACTGAACTAGAATTACAAAGTTCTAATTTCAAACTTTCCACAAGCTGCCAAAGTGCTATCAAAGGCTAGTCAAAACAAGTACAAAATGCTGTCACAAAGAAGCAGAAAGTATGGAAAAGAGATAAAGTATGCAGAGGCAAAACTACATATGCAAGCAAGCAAGTTCCATTTCATCATTTTCTAAGCCAGTGCCTTTTCAGGATAAGACAAATCTAAGCAATATAATATGCTTAAAAAACTGTCAAAGAGAGAGGAGAGAGAGAGTAAGAAGAGATGGGCTTACAGGTTTAGGCATGAGGACAAGATATATAAAACAAAGCTGCTAACACAGTAGAGAGAGGCAGCATAAGATATCAAAAAAAACATATCAAAAGAGAACACAAACCAAAGGGACCCCAAAACAGAAACCTGTGTCCAAAACTTACCAAAGCCTTGCCCGATTCAAAAGCCTCAAACAGTTTTCAACATAAGTTTCAAACCTAAAGCCAAATCAGTTCAAAGCTGATAAAGCTCAAAAACACCATAACCTGTGCAAAAGGCCTAAAACCTGCCTGAACTGCCAAGCCTGTGAAACCCTTCACCTGCTTAACTCAAGCTTCAAAGCCAAAGCCTCAACCCATTCAAGCATAACAAACCAGACCTGCATAAGCCATAACCTGTCAAACCAAGCCTTAAAATCATAAACCTGCATTAAACCTGCATTAAACCTGCTTGAGCCTAAACATCCAGGTTGAAGCCTAAAGCTTCAAGCCTTTCAACCTAAAGCCTATAATTTCGCCTACTAAACACAACTCAAACAGAAAGCCATAACATCAAACCATACAAATCCCAACCTGTAACACAAAGCCTGGGTTCTAAACCTGTAATAGCCTAAAAAACCTGCTGAAGCTAAGATTCAAAAAAGCCTTCATCTGTTAGATTATCAAACAAAACCTAAACACTCCAAAAAACCTGTGTCAAAGCCATAAGCCTGAAACCTGTCAAGCTTCCAACCAAAGCCATCAACCAGCAAATTCAAGTCCAAACCAGAATATCAAACACAAACCCTCAGAACATTGTCATCACAGGGTAAATCATCAAGGCAACTCAACAACTCAGGA